TATCCTTCCCCTCAAAGTTCAGGGCTCCAGGATTATCTTCTGTGTCTGTGTTAGTTGGTTTCCCTTTTCTTTGCTGAAGAGGGTCTGTGCAGTCTTTCTGCCTATTCTGCCATCTTTGAGTAAGTTCTAAAATGCATGCATTTTTAAGGTTACAATTTGATGGTTTTCAGTAAATTGATAAGAGTTGCATAATCATCAACAAAATTTAGTTTTAGACATGTCCATCACACTAGAAAGTCCAGAAACATGCAGTTTTCCAGTTAATTCATGCACCTACCCCTAATCTCAGCTATCCACAGATCTGTACCTTTTCTCTATGAATTTGCATGTTTCAGATATTTCATAAAATGGAGTGAGTCATGCCATATGAGGCCTTTTGTGACTGGTTTATTTCACTTAAAATAATGTTTTTTGAGATTCATCCATTTTGTAGTTTGTATCAATATGCCATTCCTTTTTATGGCTGATAATCTTCCATTGTATGGATGCACCACATTTTGTTTATCCATTCATCAATTGGTGAACATTTGGATTGTTTCCATATTTTTGCTATATGAATTATATTGGTAAAAATAATGGTACACAAGTGTTTATGTGGACATGTATTTTCACTTCCCCTAGATAAATATGTAACAATGAAGTGACAAGTAGAAGGCAGATCCAATTTGAGTTGAGGGAAGGTAACAGTGCCCATCAGGGTGATGAAAGAGGCAAGAAGGTGCCTGTGGGTGAGCATGAGGATTGAGGGTGCAGGAACTCAATGTCTCTCTACCTTTTGGAATCCTATCCCTTGCTTCCTCCCCATTTTCTCAGCTAAAGTTGGCACGAGAGTTGGAAAAAATGAAAAGGCTGAAGCTCGAAGAGCTGTGGCTAGAAGGAAACCCATTGTACAACACATTTTCAGAAGAGTCCTGCTATGTTAAGTCAGTGGGGAGTCCCGGGGTGGGTCAAATGGGTAAGCACTCAATTACCAGCCCAATGGTCGGCCTTTCAAACCCACCTAGAGACACATCAAAAGGTAAGTCTTGTGATCTACTTCTTAAAAGCCACAGGCTTGACCACCCTATGGAGCACACATAGACAGTGCACACATGGGTTTGCCATGAGTCAGAATCGACTCAATGGCAACTAACAAGAGCAACAAAAAGGTCAGTGGTAAACATTGTCTACCCTCCTGGGAACCTTCACCCCCTGGCAGCCAGATCAACATCTGACAGTGCCCATCTGTAGGAGGTCGCAGGCCCAGTCCTTCTTCTGGGTCTCCCTGCCTTCTTCTGTCCTGCTCACTGCTTCCCGGGATCTGGAGCATGTTTCCCACGCTTCTCCAGCCAGCCTTCTCTGCCAAGGCCTCCCTTGAATATGTTCCAGTAAGCAGGGCTCCCCCGCTCCCCAGGCCCTGGAGTGTGCACACTGTGCCCTGCTTCCACATGGGAGCTGCCTTGAGCCAGATCCTGGTGCCCTGTACTGGGAAGGTTCTTCCTGATAAGGGCCTCCTGCTGAGACAGCCTTCCTGCTCTGAGCTGAAATGAGGCTTCCTCCCTGTTCTGTGATAAGCCCTCTCTCCCTTGCCCTAAAAAGTTCACCCAATCTGTCCCAGCAAGCTCTGGTGGTGTAGGGGAGCTCTGGTGGTATAGTGCCTAAGGCACTTGACTGCTAACCAAAAGGCTGGAGGTTCAAACTCACCAGACACTCCTCAGAAGGAAGGTTGGGCAATCTACTTCCATCATGATCCCGCCTTGGAAACCTAAGTAGGGGTCTCTATGAGTCAGATCCAACTCGACAGCAGTGAGTTTGGAGCTTGGTAATCTGTCCCAGGCCACCATCAGGCTTTCCTGCTCCATGCTGAGGGCCAAGGCCCTCAGGTGGCTGTATCATGACATCTGTTCCTATGGCCCAATGAAGGAGCTGGGCCCTGCTGGGGGAGTAATATGGGTTGCGTGAGTCAGTGTGTCAGGAGTGGGTCACCAGCAGTGAGCTGAGGGCATCTTGAGACAGGTGCCAAATGTGGAAATCAAGGGCTAGAGGCAAATGAGGAGACTGGAAGACAGGAAGAGAGTTCTTTCAGGGGCATTGCCCCCTCCCTCCACCACACTACTTCATCCTCCTTGGTCCTTCAGACCAGCCCTGGGTGGACTGAGATGGTCTGATTCCTCAGAAAGGGGACCAACTAAGACAGGCACAACTGTACAGGGGCCATCAGGGGAGAAGGTGACCCTCATAAGAGAGCCCACAGAACCTCATCTCCATGCTGTGTTGTTATGTGAATCTGTACTCCTGGGGAAAATATCCTGTCCAATTGGCTGCTCTATTACCTATGCCTAGCTCAGATGGGATCACACAGGTGACAAAGGCCAATGCATCTTCAGCCCAATAAGTACCTGTTTTCCATTCCTACTTTAGCTTCAGTGCCAGTCAGGGGCAGATGTAGGACAGGAAGACAACAGGGCGGCATCTCTCCTTTCTCCTCTGCTTTCTCCCTAATCCCAAACACTCACAATTAACTTCTTCCCCTTGCCTTTCCTTGGCTTTCTTTTTCTCATTTGTCTCCAGTCCCCTGTATCTCCCCATCTCTCCCCTCCCCTCCCCTGCCTTTTCTCCCTTTATATCATCTTCTTCCTGCTTCCTGAGCCTGCCTCAAGCGTCTTCCTGTCCAGGCATCCTGAGCCATCCCTGGGGGATGTCCTGGTCTTTTTCAGGGCCAGGCCTGGCAGAACCCTAGCCACCTGGTGAGGTAGCAGAGCCCTGGGTCCCACTCCATTCACTGCTTCCTCTGGAGACTTCCCAGGGAACTTGGAGGGAGGTCAGTGAGAAAGAGAAAAGAAGAGGGCTAATCTCTGGAGCCTGGGCTCCACATGCTGCTTCTGTGTGGGTGGAGTGGAGGGTCAGGGCCATCCATGTGAGAGCTTCCTAGGAGGAAGGAGGGGGAGAGAGTGTGCGGAGATAGAGGAGACACTGTGTCTTTAAGATAGCTCACAGGAGGGATGCCTAGTGTTCCACAGGGAAGGTGGGCCTCACACCCCTTAACTCAGACTGAGGGTGGGAGCTGTAGGGGCTGCTGAATGGTGGGACACACTGGCCTCTTTCATGGTATCAATGTGCTAGCCCAGAACAGACAGCCTAATGCTGACCTGTTAATCACTTTTTCCTGTTTTTCACTTTGGATAGCGTCATCAGAGATTCTTTTCCCCAACTTGTTATGCCTGGTGAGTGCTTACATTCATTATTATCTCCTTTCACTAACATTGATAACCTGCACATCTGCCTTCAAGTTCTTTGTGTCTGTCTTAGCTTATGTTTTTTTTTAAATTGGACCTTTACCTGTTTTAGGGAACACAGACTTCTGACAAGTCATAGCTATTCTCCCTTTTAAAATGTCTGTAAAGTGCACATACACACACATTTCTGTGCATGCATGCACGCTTTCATGCACGCACACACACAATCACAGACACACACATTGCATGTAATAGTAGCGGCTTCCAGGCACCATAGAAAAGACACCAACTTTAGTGTGGCTCATAGAATTTTCATACTAATTCATACTTGACCTATGACCCATACTTTGTCCTGGACCCTTCATCTCATTGCTCATTCATTCCTCAGGATGGTCAGGATTTACCATTACCAATTTCTCTTCAAATGGAAGCCTCTAAGATAATGAAATCCTGCAATGTAAGTTGAAGGTACCAAGATAGATTTGGTGTATTGGAGGGGAAGCATTGTCTGCTGCAATGTCCCAAGGTGTTTTTAATTCCAGGAAAGTTATAAAGGATCTGAGGCTTTGAAGAATCTTATCTTGCAATTCCTGCGAGAGTTAAGTACCCATGGAACCCCAAGGCGAGGGGGCTGGGATGGGCCAGGCTTCGAGGCACAGGTCTGCTGCTGGTGGATTTCAAGTCCACTCAGGGGCCAGACTACAGAGAGCCTGTCCCCTTTGCCTTCCCAAAGGTATTACTGGATCTATGACTATGGGGACCGGAATGGGCTCCTGGTTGCTTACCATGATGAGGCCTGCTTCTCCCTGACCATTCCCTTCAACTCTGAGGACCTGGCTCCATGAGTATCACAGACCCGATGACACCCCGGGCATATGACACTGACCTGTCTCCACATCCTGTTTCTCTTTTCTCCTAGAAGTATTTTAGGCAAATACTCCAAGGGTAGCAGGAATATGAAGAAGCTCAAGGACCCCGGTAAAAGTATTTGTGGGAGAAGATTGTGTGGGAGAGGAAGTGTGAAGGAGTCTATCATGGAAGCCAGGTGAGTGGGACAGGCCCCAACCTTCTCTTCTCCCCCTCCACAGCCCTTCGGCTTTAGTTGCTGAAACACAAAATGTGATGTTGTTAACTTCCTTAGCGTGTTGCCCAAACCCAGCATGACTTCAACTCCTTCCTGGTGGACATGTGCAGCCAGACGGTGAGCACCTGCTTCCTCCCTGATCCCAAGAGAGTGGAGGTGGGTAGGAGGTGTGGGGGGGGGGATGCTGGAGGTCTGAGCTTCTTTATTCTTTCAGGAGAAGATGCTCTGCTTTTCTGTCAGCGGGCTGTTCAAGGAGGGTGAGTGTGTGTAGAGTCCCTTCCCCATGTCCCCCCCTGCTCCCTCTCAGACCTCTCCAGGCTTCCCTCATCCCTTCCCTGCCCATTCCGTCTGTGCTCTCCAGCTCCCACCCTGCCCCCAACCCACCCTGTTCTGACCTATGGCCATAGCTGTCTGCCCCAGCACAGCCCAACTCTTAGGGACACAGGCTGTGGAGTTTGAGGGCTCTCATCCTTGTGCCTCGCTCTGCCAACTTGGGACACTTGCTTAACCTCTCAGTCTCCTCATTTACACAATGGTGCTAGTGATACCCATCTCTTGGGCTGCTGTGAAAAAGGAGGCCAATGAACCTGTGAAGAGTTTGTCACAGGGCCTGACATAGAGTAGGGGACCTGTCACTGGGAGGTGGTTGTTCCCATAGCAACAGCCCTCCCCATCGCTGACACCCCTCCTGACTCCCAGTGGACAGTTTTCTTTGTATGTCCCACTTCAGTGTGCCATGGGACAATAAGACCTGAGCTGGGGGCACTGGTGGTGAGAGTGTAAAGTGTGGGCAACTCTGAGGGGTATTGTTGATGCTTGTTCTTAAAGTGGAAGGAATGTATCAGGGCCGGATTTGTGCCTTCACTCGGATCTTCATCGTTACTCCTGTTGGCAACTCCAGGTAAGTGCTGTATTATGGATCTCATATGTGACATCCATCCCAGCCCGTGGTCAGTGGTGAGGGAAGCTGATGGTCCATTCCTCAGGATTTCCCAACAATTGCAGAATTCCAAAAGGTGAAACAGTGTAGCATATTAGTACTTAAGAGTTTAGGCTGTAGCACTGGTATAGTGGGTTCTCTCCTTGACCCCAGCATTCAGCACCTGTGCAACCTTGGTCAAGTTATACTACCTCTCTGTGACTCAGTGTCTTCTTCTGAATATGAAGATTAGAGTATGCAACTCCTTGGGCTGTGGTAGTATAAAGGCGGGTGTGAGATTGTCTCTGGGTTATGAGTAAACCCACACATCTAGTGAAGCTGGCTCATATCTCTCCAGAGGCAGGTTCTATGGAGGGAAGGGGTACCAATCAAGGAATCTGGGAGGCTGTCTGAGTAGCGATGAAGGAGAAGTGGTTCCTGAGTGAGAGTAGGATCATTGTTGGGGATGTGGTGTTATCCATCTGTTCCAGTGCCTGAGGGCTCATTTTTCTTTCAGCATATGCATTGTCAATGATCAACTGTCCGTGAGGGAAGGCAGCCCCAAAGAGACCCTGAGTGCCTTCTCCACCCCAATACCCACATCATCCTCCAGCCCTGTGTCCACCCTCTCCCAGGAGCAGCAGGAAATGGTGCAGGCATTCTCCACTCAGTCTGGTCTTTGAAGTGAGGACTGGGAGTATGAGGGGGTAGAAGTGAGCTGGGAAGAGCTAGAGAGGAAAAATGGGAACTAGCAGGTAATGTTGCAAAATAAATACATTCAATTTTTTGCTTCTGCACAAATTGGGCCCTTGAGAAACTTATCCTATTTTTATAATGATATATGTAAAGAATTTTTAAACAATATAATAGTCAAAGATCATGATCTTGTACATGGAAGAGCCTAAAGAAGCCACTAGAAACTATTAGAACTAATAAACAGTTTTAGCAAGGTTGCAGGGTACAAATTTAATATGAAAAAAAATTAATTTGTCTTTCTATTCATGTTCATTGAACATCTTGCCCCTTCCTCACAATGCCTGCCCTGCTTAAGCCCATGGTCACGACCACTGTGCCAATCTATCTCGTTGAAGGTCATCCCCTTTTTCATTGACCCTCTACTGTACCAAACAGCACATACTTCTCCAGCGACTAGTCCCTTCTGACAACACGACCAAAGTATGAGTGGTGAAATCTGACCACTCTTGCTTCTAAGGAGCATTCTGGCTGTGGTTCCTCTAAAAGAGATTTGTTTCTTCTTCTAGCAGTCCAAGGTACATTCAGCATTCTCCACCAATACCCAATTCAGATGCATCAATTTTTCTGTGATCTTCCTTATTCATTATCCAGCTCTCACCTGCGTATGAGGCTATTGAAAATACTATGGCTTCGGTTAGGCACCCCATACTCTTCAAAGTGACATCTTTTCTCTTAAACACTTTAAA